ACTCAGTTATCAGGAAACGAAAAATTGTGTTAATTCCATAGAATTTACGGTTAGAGCTCACCATGGAAGAAATCACTTCTTTCTACGCTAGAGAATCGTGTATGCTCCCATAGCTTTCTACCTAAACAGGAGAATATGCTGAGATTCTGTAAATTTAATATATCTTACCTTGAATAGAACATATCAAAATTAGAATTCCACTGGTAACTAACAGCAATCTCATGGAATATATCTTTCAAAATGGGAATCTTGTTTACTAAAGAAAAAAGATGAAAAGTAAACAGCTTTGCAGAGTATTGCTCAGAGAATCAGAGACAGGAAGGAGATTACAGGTAGATCGCGCTATTTTTGGATTACGTCGATATCGAACGTACAAACAACCTATTAAAATTATCACTAACGGTTAACTGGGTTACCTGGCGAACGTCATGTATCCTTGAAGATGTAGATATGGATGTTGGGCGACTTAACGCGACAAAACAATATCAAAAAATGTGCGATGATATATTTAAGAGTAAGTTTAGGTAGCGAACCAAAAATTTGTCGATGAAACAGATGAACCAACGGCATCACTTGAAACACACTTTTAGCATACATTTAATTTTTCATCGAAAGATTTATCTATGAATATAAAATACTCAATAAGAAATAAACACGTTTGACCTAAATCACATTGTGAAAGACATTCGTCCAATGGTTTGAAGAAAATTACAAATATTAAACTAAATGAATTAGCCTTACTAAGTGTCAGCAAAAATTGCCATAGGATTACAAAAACAAAAAGCGTCAAACCTTTCGCGGCAACGCATAACAAAGAAAAAATCATTAACAGCAACTGTATATGTTACACCGAATGGATATATTTGAAGAACTATGAAGAAAAGAGAAATTTAAGAAAAAAATTGGAAAGCTTTTTAATTTTTAATGAGGAAGTCGTCATATGTTGTTCATATACACAAATGAGATGTAACTGGGCGATGATTATCCTGTTTATCGGCAATAACCATATACGAGATCATTACGATGAATAGTTAAAGGATTAGAGAGTTCGGAAAAATAGTTAGACTAAATTCACATGCCGTTATCACTTATAACATTGTAGTCTCAACGGAGTTTTTCTTGTTTTATGATATTTGGAATCAATGGATCCGGTAGATAAGATTCTTCTCTTTTTTGTTACGGTCTATGCGCCTCAAAAAGAATTTGTCGAATGCAAGCTTATTCCTCTTTTTGACCGAAAGAACGCCGTGACTGCTGAGCGCTTCATATATACTCGTTAGATAGAAATGTGCTATCTCTTTTTTTCCTTGAGAGTAGCACAGCCGCTAATTCAGTCTAATTATTTTTATACCGACAATTCAATTTAATTATTTGTCCAAGACCTGAGACAATGGATATGAGATCACGACACTGTGAGACCAATTGATTCTTCAAAACTCCTCTAATTACCATCAAACTAGTACAAAAATACCTTACAATATTATGCTATACATTCAAGGTGCGCCAGTCATTCAAGAACAATGTAATTAATAAAATTTTGAAAGATCAGGATTGGCACAAATCCTTTTGCGGATGAAGTCACCTATAGCTCTCATCAAATATAATAAAGCAATGACAATGTAAGTATGAGCGCGAGTAACCCTTCTTTACTCCTAGTACATTATTTTTCTCAAATCGAAATTCTGGAAAAAAAAATGAAGATTCTTCCATATTTTAAGTCGTTGACGCTATCGCCTATTTGACCTTATTCTCAAATAAATAACATACCTTGAGAAAAGTGGCCTAAATAGGCACATGATCAATATCTAACTTGAGAACCTGAACATATTTAAACACTCTTGTCGGGCTCTATACTGAAACGC